AGCAGCCAGACGACCCTCAACTATAAGAATCTACAACGCCACATGGTCCATTTTTTTGTAGATAGTGTGACAAGCTCCAAATTGACCCCGTTTCCCCTTCCATTGCTCAAATATTAGACTTCCTGCAGGAGGGACTCAGTAAAGGGTTGTCCCCTAATACATTAAAATGACAGGTAGCAGCCTTATCAACCGTCATCTCCTATGAAGGAGCTGATTCCCTTTCTCATCACCCCTGTATTCAGGCTTTTCTTAGAGGGGCCACCAATTTACACCCTCCAACTCTACACCGGTACCCAACCTGGGACCTTAACAGAGTCCTTATCTCACTCACAAAACCCCCTTTTGAGCCATTAAGGGAAGCATCTCTACAGTTTTTAACATACAAGGTAGTCTTCCTTGTAGCGATCACATCAGCCTGTAGGATATCGGAGATTGCAGCCCTATCCATTAGAAAGGACCTCTGTGTATTTCACACTGATTGAGTGGTCCTCCGGCCTGATCCTACCTTTTTGCCCAAAGTCAATTCGGTTTTCCACAGAGCTCAGGAACTTATCCTTCCAAATTTTTGCCCCAAGCCATCTCAGGAAAGGGAAAGGCAATGGCACACACTGGATGTCAGACACGCCCTGTGCGTTTACATCAAGCGCACAGAGTCCTTCCGAAAGTCAGAGGCCTTGTTTCTTTCCTTTCAACCCAAGACGCAGGGGCACAAGGTATCACTGTCCACCATAGGCCATTGGATAAGGGCGGCAATAGCCAGGTCATACCAGTCACAGGCCTTGCAGGTACCCAGAGGTATCACTGCTCATTCCACCAGGAGTGCGGCAACTTCGGCAGCCTGGGCCACCCAGGCACCAATAAACAAAATCTGCCGGGCGGCGACGTGGGCCTCCCCGTCACCTTTTATCAGGCACTACAAGATCGATGTGTTTGCCTCAGCTGAGGCTTCCTTTGGTAGAAGGGTTCTACAGAAGGTTTTTAGAGAACCCGAGGTGGCTGCAGACCAGACGATGCCCCTCCCGTAGGACAGGCCCAGTTTTGGTATGTCCCACTTCTGGATGCTCCGAGCAGCTCTAAGGAGAATGGGCGTTGGTACTTACCTGACACGCCCTTTCTCTTTGAGCTGCGAGGAGCATCCAGCCCCACCCAAATTTCACCGTCTGGTGGGGTCTTGTTTCGGCCAATTAGTTAGTTAGGATGAGAGCACGAATTTTTTTCCTCTCGTCTTCGCAAAACTGGGGAACGCTATGGAGGAGACACGTGGAAGGAGGAGGAGCGTTCCTCAAAATCAAGCTCAGCCTATGAATGCAGAGACTGAAGCACCACCCACTTCTGGATGCTCCTCGCAGCTCAAAGAGAAATGGCGTGTCAGGTAAGTACCAACGCCCATTTTTTAAATAGCAGTATTCCAGTCAGCATTAACATATTTAAAAATAAATGAAGAACACTGATGAATCTGGTGTGATAAAGGTTATAATGTTGTGAGCTTATGCATATAGTTTGAAACACTGATGGAACTTGACAAAATAGTCGTTAAGTATCATAGCAATTTGTTTCAATGATATTAAAATTAACTCATTTTAATTATTGGAAAGCAAAGAGGAGCAAGGTCCAGTGCTGAAACATGATGTAATTATATGTTTTCTCTATCAAGACTTGAAGTATTGGAGCAATCAGTTATTATTATTTGCATTATCTTTCAATAATACACAAATATGAAGGGAAGGCACAGTTTTTTTTATTCTTTTTGAAAAACACTCTGACTAAAGTTTATTGTTTGACCAAGCTAAATTATTATCTGGAAGTTTCAACATAGTGCAGCATGTAGCTTGAACCTTGCTCAGAAAAAAAAAATGATTTGACATTAAGGGAATCTGAAGAATCAGATTTCCAACCACATACAGCACTGAAGCTGTAATCTGCTTTGCTTTGGATTTGTGGTCAAAATAATATTACATAATATCAATATAGCAATAGTACTTAGACTTATATACTCCTTCATAGTGCTTTAGAGCACTGTCTAAGTGGTTTACAGAGTCAACATATTGCCTCTGACAATTTGGGTCCTCGTTTTACTGACCTCAGAAGGATGGAAGGCTGAGTCAACCTCAAGCCCCCCATCAGGATCGAACTCCTGCCATGGGCCGAGTTACCGTATTTGCCGGCGTATAAGACGACTTTTTTGCCCCGAAAAACATGCCTCCAAGTGGGGGGGTCGTCTTATACGCCGGTATATCCACTGCCGGCTTTCGGATGCTTGTTGGACGCAGCGAAGGCGCCTCTGGCTTCCTGGATCCCCTGCGTCGCTTCCGCTTCATCCCGCTCGCCTCGCTCCGCCCGAGGCTGCAGCCTTCCTGCTCTTCCCACGGCCCCTGGCACTCTGCCCTGCCGCTGCAGCCCCGGGGATTTCTGGAGGGCGTTTCCGGTGGTGGTGGGGGGTCGTCTTATACGCCGGGTCGTCTTATACGCCGGCAAATACGGTACCTACAATATTGCATTCTAACCATTGTGCCACCATGGCTCATATCATAAACAATATCACATTTTAAAATTATAATAGCACAATATTTACTAGTGAAGGAATAGGGGAGAAAGAAAACCATTTCTCACTTCTGCATTCCATTTCAAAATGAAGTAGTATAAATTTATAACTGTTCTTAACTTCCTTCCATCAAATCTGCAATTAAAATCTGCATTATCCATGTGATTTCTTGTGGGGAAAAGGAAGCCAGGTAACAGGCATTTAGCTTCATTCAAAATATATCTTTGAAATATTGGAAGATTGATATCCCAAACCTTACAAGACTTCAGTTTTTCTTACATGATAGCCTGGATCTTTTAATCCAGACCTGGCAAGATTGGGTTTGGGTTGCTTAAAAAAACGTGATCATTCTTCTGGGCTGCTGTAGCTTTCCATAATGATAATTCCTATTTTTAGAAGAATCTATATTTAAACCTATATCTGTTTACTAATACAAATTCCAATGAAAGTTAATGGTAGCTTCTTAAAAGTGTACAACTGAATATAAAATAATAACAAGTTGGAGTCATAATTGTTACAGAAAAATGTAGGTTAAATATGTCACATTCAGCCTTTTTTCATGTCAGTATATACAGAACTGAGCCTTGTAACATTATTAATTTGTATGGCAAATGGAACTCAAGAATGTGCATCTATGCTGATGTCAGGTTGATACTTCTACTGCATAGTGTTGTCTTACACTTTCTTGTAGCGTGACTTAGCAAATGAATAAATTATTTAAAGACAGATAATAGTAAAGAATGCAAGATTAAATAGACAGTGCTATCTTGTTCCTTTTGTTTCTTTCAAACACTGAATTTAATTATAACAATCTGGAAATTGTAATATATACTTATATAAACACTTCTGTCTGTCTTTAGATTTATAATAGTTTTACTTCAAATATTGAAGAAAATATCAGTAGGTGGAGCAGCTGTGGAAATATGCTTTCCTTCTCCATCATATTCTTAACTGAAAAACAGAAAACCATGCTTGGAAAGAAATCTGAAACCTTTTTTTTTCTCTTTCTGTCTTTGAGAAATATATTAAACTATTTTTAAAAAGGAATCTAGTTAACATTCTTTTAAGTGTCTGCTTTTGATTTAGAGTCCAATTTAGTTTAATTTGGGGGAAAATGCTTATTAGTATTGTGGGCAGTTACCCATCAAATGGGGAGGTTAGGATTAAATGAATAAAACAATATACTGAAACTAAAGAATGAAAATGTAAACAATCAGGTGTTTGAACTGTGATATTGTGTTCTTTCTCTCAAAATATAAACTCTGCCTTTTAAGTATCTTTTGTCTTAAGGTTTTCTTAAACTTTTTTCCTGCTATTAATTTGGCTGAAATATAAAGCTTCAATATGTCGGAGACAAAAAGTATCTTCTGAGTAAAAATAAAAACAGATAATGTTCTTTATCAAGTTTGTTTATAAATATGTATTATGGATGACTTGGAAGCAAGACTGTATGATCTAATATTTTTTTTAAAAAATTCATAAATGTAAATAGAGAAAATAATGAAAACCTATCTTTTCATTAAAAAACAAATGATTACTCCCCATTAAGTCACAATTAAGATTATTTGAATATTGGGCAAAATTAATAAATTCCATAGGAGTTTAGGGTTAAGTATATGGGTAGCAAACTAAATTAGTTGTGTGTGTGTGTCTCTCTCTCTCTCTCTCTCTGTGTGTGTGTATGTGTATATTCTCATATTCAACAGTATTACAAGAAAGAATGTGCTTGATTTATGCTGATCAATGAATAAAATTTGATTTTATTTGAGTTACAAATAGACCTTGAGTTATGATCATAATTGGCACTGGGACTTCTGTTATCAGTTGGTGTGGTCATACAGTGAGACGTTACATGATCACACTTACGACAGCAGTTCTGTTGCTTCCCATTGTAATCATTAACTGAGAACTGTGGGTCATTAAGTGAGTACCCATACCAATCAAGCCATTCTGGGCTTGGTCCCTCAGCTTTTCCAGTAAACGCTTTAGTACATGTGGCTCCTCAGCCTGGTCCAATAGGGAGATACAAATAAGAATGTCAGCCAATGGGGGAAGCTGGAGGTAATTTCATCCAATGGGAGAGTGCCATTAGCTCAGGGAACATTTGTAGAGATCAGGAGAAGATAGGCGGTGGGGGGAATTGAAGAGCCTCTGCGTTTATAAGTTTGGGTGAACCACCAAGGGCCTGAATTATGAACACATAACCATAGGGTTACATGGGAGCATTGCAATGGCTGTAATTTGGGGCATGAATCATAAGTTTCTTTATTCAGTGCTACCATAATTTCAAATGGCCACAGAAAAAATGGTTGTAGCTGAGGACTACCTGTTTTCATTTTTCCCTTGAGTATAACATTCCAAATGTTTTAAATATATGGAGTTTAAATTACTGACAACTCTGATTTTCCTTAAAAGTTTAAATTATGCATTTTTAAATTTTGTCTATCTTATCTTTCAGACTGCAAATGGATACATATTATTTTTCAATCTTCTTTCTGTAAGAGACAAATACCTGTATGAGCCAGTCTATCCCAAGTAAGTTTTGCTGTAAATCTTTTATTTGTTCCACTGTACAGAGCTACATGTACCACCGGAACAAATTTCTAGTTACACAATAGGAATTTCCCTTTATTTTCCTTCCCCTCCCTCTCTGATCTGTTTCGGTACTTTTAACATTTTGCTGAAAATATAATTTTTGATCCAGAAAACTATTCATAAGGGAAAATATGGGGAAAGAAAAAGAAATTTGCTTTTTGTATGACATAAAAATATGGCCTTATTAGTAATGTATACAGTATATTTGTCAATTCTTTTGTACTTTTTACTCCATAATTTGAAATTTTAAAATTGTGTTTTAACAGCAGGAGCTTGGAAATTCTACTTAATAAGTGTAAATAAGAAACAATACATATCAGGATCAGTAGTCTAGAGAAAGGATGGACAGATTTCAGGCATATTCTGTAGTTGGCAGTGATTAGTTAGAAGTGGTTTGTTGGTTCAGTGTATTGGCAGTGGTTTGTTGTTGGCAGTGGTTTGTTATTCAGTGTATTAAGTGTTATGCAAATTAACTAACATCTAGGTACCCTAACAATTGTCATATTAACCCTTCAAACTGAAAAATGTTAAAAGTTAACATAACACAGCAATGCTTCTTCAAAACAACTGTATTATTTTAAAAAACGCAACAAATAACAATGCCAATACGGTGATGTTCTCAAACTGCAGTACAATGAAAAAAAATATCACATAGGATTGACTTTTGTCATCTTGATGCCATGAAGGCAGGAATTTGTCCTAAATAATACAATTTAACTAAAATTAAATGAGAGCCTTTGGAAAATGAAGTGGTTTGGGAAAGTGAGATTTAACAGAAAAAATTGTTCCATATAAAGAATTTCCTTTCATCTGGATAACATTTCTTAATAATGAAAGGAGAGAGAACCTGATTGCACTTCTTTTCTTCAAATAACTGAAGGCATAAGGAGAAACAGCATGATATTCCTATTGAATAAGAATAGTGGAAATATAAATGATTAGAAAGAATTATTTGTTCTTCATTTAACTCCTACCCCATTTTTAAATCCTTGTTGATATATACCCAGTTAGATAAGTAAGATACTTTAAAGCAGAGGTGGGGAACTATGTCCTTTTATGACTTGTGGACTTCAAGTCCCAGCAAGGCTGGCTCATGAATTCTGGAAGTTAAAGTCCACAAGTCATAAAAGGGCTTGTATGTGTGTCTGTGTCTGTCCATCCCTTTAGGGTCTAATAGTTTAGCTCAACTGAAATTCTAAATTCACTAGTCACACATCTGCTTAGAAATGGTGATGTAACACAGTTTTCTACCTACAGTCCTTCTGACTTCAATAGGTATGCATTATCCATAATCCCTAAGTATAACAGCATTCTTTTTAAAAAGTATCAGTAGAAACTATGTTTTTCATTAGTACCAATAGAAGAGAAAATATGTTCATCATTTGGTGTTTAACTTCATTTTTTTTTCTTATTCTGACTGTCTGGAAATTCTGAACTATGATACTGTTGCAGATGTGGCCTCTACTTGCTCAGACATGCTCTGGGCCTTTCGCTTTCCCTGGTCTGGCAGAAAACATGTGAGGTTTGACTAAGCTGTGCTAATATCTGGGTGGGTGGAATTAACAATTGTTTCTTACAAGTTGGACCAAACTGGTTAGATTGCAGCCTATTAGATGTAATAGTTTCACCTGCACCCAAATCTTGGGTCCATTAAATTGAAGAATAGCATATGTAGAATGAAGCACATCTATTTCAAATTAAAGAGTATGGCATCTTAAATCATCAGGTATTTGTTTGTATAATACTGCTTAAAGGCCTTTCAATCACAAGTTTCTATTAGCACTGGTGGTGGTGGAGTAGGAAGACAAAAAAACCCTTAAAGGTGTGCTGCAAATTAATAGTGATATATCAGCAGAATACAGTTCCTGGTCCTGAAGAATACATATACTGTATAATACAGTTGTCTTAATGGCCAAACTGCTTTGTGCTATACACATTGTAATAAAGCTTCGCTTTCAAAGCTATAATGATCTTGATGGCATAGAAATGATACCAAGCCACCATCTTGAATTAGCTGCATCTAAGGCAAATTAATTGAAATGGAGATATACAGAACTCCCAGTTTGGGAATAGTACTTTCTGGAGAACTTCGGAACATTCTGTAATTCTTCCAGATCAGACTAAACTTCTCCCAGGATCATGCTGTCCCAGGGATGGTCTGTGGTTGAAATTGAAGATTTAAGAGTTTTGCATAACTGTTTGTGAAGCAGTGAACTCTTCAGCATCCTTATAATTTAATCTTAGTTGAACATTTTGATATTTACCACTTGGTTCCAGGGGTGGACTTCTACCGGTTCTGTCCACCTCTGTAGAACCAGTAGCTCTGAAGATTAGGAGACATAGAACCGGTTCTATGTCTGCTGATGTTTTTGCCCACCCGCCCACCTGGCCTCTTACCTGATCTTTATTTCCTGATTTTTCAACTTCAGCTGCCGAACAAGGCACAGCTGCAGTTAAAAAGGCAAGAAAAGAGGGCTATTTCAAAGGCTGCTTCTCTGCATGCAGCGTGCTGATGACGATTTACAGGCTCTCAGCAGGGAAGCACATCATAAATCACTGAACCTCGTAAATCCCCAACCGGTAGTTAACCCTGTCGTATCCCACCCCTGCTTGGTTCCTTAAATTGTATATAAACAATAAGGACAATAACATTTTAGAAATCAATCTGCATTAAAAATCAATCTCATTTAATAACAATCTGCAATTGTGTTTTGACCATTTTGTGGTTACTTCATGTTAATAAACAGAATTCTATTAAATTTTTCACTGTGTTAAGAGATTAGCTAATTTTCAGGGAAGTGAGCTACCATAAATAATGTGAGAATATTCCTTCTCCTAATAACAAATTGTGTCCTGTGATTTTTGAAAAATTGTTAGCTTTTAGCCAAAACTTAAATACTTTGTTTTTGATTAAAACTGTACTTATCTTCAGAAACTCTTCTCATCACTACTGCTTCTAGCAATAATACTCTGTCAATATTGGGAAAAAACTTGTAAATCTGTTATGGAAAAATGACAATAATCTAGGACAATAATTTAATTGTTTGGAAAGGCTATACATGAAATATACTTATGATAGAAAGAGAGATACAGATATAGTTCAGAAATGCTCTTAGGCTTGATAGATAAATAAAATTTCTAAGAATATTATAAAACATTTTTGCTGACAATCCCTCATATCTCATTGTAATACAATTATAATTTCTATATAATATATGCATATAAAGCATATATTATAGAATCATTTGTTGTTGTTGCTTTTGCTTTCTGTCATTCATGTGTTCTTTAGGTGATCTTCCTTTTCATTTCTCCTAATTTTTAGACATCTATGATAAGAGACTGCAGAAATATAGCTCTTGTTGATGTTGCAACATAGATGAAACATTCTTTCCTGCTTCTGTCACCAACTTACATTCAGAGTTTAAAGGTCAAAGCTATTGAAGCACTAAAATAAGTTCACAAGGCTATTTTGTGTGTCTGAGTATTTTAAAGGGGTGTGATCATTCTATATCTTTCAACTTTTTTAGTGGAAATCAATAAAGAAAAGAGAGTAATGGGGAGCCATTTGTGTTAAATGATTTAGCATTGCATGGGATTGAATTCTGGCTTGATTCCCCTAGACTGAAAAGAAAAACAATTAGATTTTGGCATCTTCTGCAAAACAGTATCAAATTATGTTAGATATTTGAGATTTATTTTTTCTTAAAACTTAAATAGAATGTTTTAAATTTAAGTGAATTTAATATAAGGCAGTGGTTCTCCAGATGAGCTGTTCAGAGCATTCAGGCATGGGGGGTGCTTCTGTCTCTCGTCCAATAGGCTGAGCTAATTTCTGAGGACACTCCTCCTTGAGGCTCCTCCTTAGCATCCCCATTTTTTTGCTCAGCCTTCGTTCGAGAAGGGCATTTTTCTCTTGGATGGATTTTCTGAAAGTGAGCAGAAATAACAAAAAAGGTCAGATAGCAGCTTCTGGCTGCAAAAAGACGGACGTGACCTTAAAAATAGCAAATATAGTTCCCGACATCGCAATTAACATCAGCTGGCTGTCGGAGCTTTTTTAACATCAGTGAAGGCCTCCACGGTGCTCCAAGCGCGCTCAAGCCAGCACCGAAACAGTTTTCCCTCAGGTTGCCATTACAGCCTCTAAGAAACAGCCGAGGCAGTTAAAATCAGCTGGTTGGCAGAGCTCGTAAAATTCTACAGAAAAGACTCTGCAATTAGTGCAAATCGCGAGAAGCTTCAGAAGTAGATCTAGAGAAGCTGCCGACACTGAAGTTAACAACCTACTGGCTGTCGGAGCTCTTTATTCCCTTACTGAGGACAGCAACGGTGTGATAAGCAGAGATTATATATATAGAGAGAAGCTTTATTCCCAAGGAATTCACCTGATCTCAGGGGAGAAGCGTAAGAGCTTCCCCTCTGGTGAAGCAAAAGCAGCAGATTAGCGGCTGCTAATTTAACAGCTGGCTGGGAGGATTTGCGTGCCAAAAAAAGCGGTTAACTGCAGGCGCCATTTTCCTCCTCAAATTCGAGACCCTGTCATTGCGCCATTAATAACAGCCAGACAGAGGCCTGAAATTCAAATAAAATAATACACTGTAGGAACAATCACAGGCTGATCAAGGACAGCTTAAAATAATCTGATTTTTATTGACTACCTTTATCATATACAATAGTGTTGGATAACAAAAACATTAAAGTTGGCAGTTCCCTCACAGTAAAGTCAGTCGGCAAAACAGCAACTAGCACTCAGGCCTGTGACTGCCTGTGCACTAAAGCTGTTAAGACCCAGAAAAATATACTGAATTATTTCAATTTAAATTTACCACATCTGGGCAGATCAAGGTGAATCCTCTATTTGGCATATTTGGTTTAATATATACATATACATATACATACATATACATATACACATATATATGTATATATGATTTAATTTA